CCAAGGAGGCTGCCATGTCATAGTGAATTGCATAACCAATCATGATGTGTCCTTGATTCTTACATTTTTAGAATTATTTAAATCCTCAACATAAGAATAAACATTTAATTTCTACCTATGGAGTACAGGTATCTATTGGGCTACATATTCCTAGTATTTTACATATCTCTGATGTATTCTAGTGGGCTCAGGTCTGAGCCAGACTCAATCACACAGGATTTTCTACTCGTTAGTCATTTCAGACAAAGGTCACAGGGGACTTCAATGTAAACATGGGCAGCGTATACGACATGTTACAACTGCACCTTTCTCATTCATTACCTGCCTGTAAGGGGCTAACTGCATATTCAGCTCAGTGCTAAGAACCAAGGGACATACCAAAAAAAAGAAAAGAAAATATTAACCATATTGCCAAGCAAGTTACATTAAGTTAGGAAGAAAAGATATGTGTACAAACAAGATGTAATGCTCCTTTCAAAATCATTATAAGGAAATTATGGACACACACTTTTTAATTTACTGTGGCTTAGGTTCTCATATTTTCAACTATCAATATTACATGTGACTTAGGAGATGAGAAGGGAGTCATTTTTTGTGAGTATTTATTTTAAAAGCATTATTTCATCTTTCAAAATGTTCTTTTACATTTTTTTTAGTACTAGATCAAAACTATAATTAGAGCTTAAGTATAAGTTTTGAAAAACAGCATATGTGATTTTTTTCCCCAAGAGTTTTTAAAAAATGTATCTTTATTGTTGAAAGTATTACAGATGTCCCATTTTCCCTCCACTGACTCCCTCCACCAGCACTACCTAGGCCTTCACTGCACTACTGTCCATGTCCATGAGCAATGCACATATGCATATCAATTCTTCGGTTAATCACTTCCTGTCCACCCCACCCTTCTGAGATTCATCAGTCTGTTCCTTGCTTCTATATCTTTGGATCAACTTGGTTCATCATTTTATTTTGTTCATTAGATTCCACATATTGATATGTAGAGGCTGACAGGATTGTTTCCATCGTAAGAATGTATGGTGGGTGGGGTTGTAAACATGACCTTATTGAAATCATGAATTTTGAGGCAAGTGTCCTGGATGGAGTCTCATTTAAGTCATTACTATTTATTGTTTTTTGTTCTTAATTTTAAAATATTAACAAAAGTAGAGAGATTCACAACTATTATTACTCAGATTTGAATTGTCAGGTTTTTTGTTTTTGTTTTTTTTTCTTCCTCTTTCCTTCCGGCCTTCCCTCCTTCCTTCCATAAGAAAAATAATAACCTCCAAAGAGGTCCTTGTTCTAATCTCCTGAACACGTGAATATGCTACATTATATAATAGAGGGAAATTATCATTGCAAATAGAACTAAGATCAGCAATCTATGTCCCTCAAGTATGGCTTAGTGGCTGAGCATCGACTTATGAACCAGAAGGCCATGGTTCAATTCCCAGTCAGGGTACATGCCCAGGTTGCAGGCTTGATCCTTGGTAGGGGATGTGCAGGAGGCAGCTGATCAATAATTCTCTCTGATCATTGATGTTTCTATCTCTCTCTCCCTCTCTCTGAAATCAATATAAATATAGCTTAAAAATAATTAAAATATTGTATGTGAAAACCAACAAAGTAGAACTGTAGATTAATAATATATTAGCTATAGAATATAAAGTAGACATAGTTATGATTATTAAGACTTAATAAATAAAATGCTGTCTTACATTAGGTTCCTTAGAAAGTAGAGCTTCAGATGCAGATTTAGATAAATATGTATTTTTAAAAAAAAAAAAAAAGGGGGGGAGGTTATTGATTTCAGAGAAAGAAAGGTAGAGAGAGAGAAAGAAACATCAATGATGACAATTATTGATCAGTTGCCTCCTGCATGCCACCTATTGGGGATTGAGCTTGCAATCCAGGCATGTGCCCGGATAGATGGAGAATCAAACTGCAGCATCCTAGTTAAGCATGTTTTATTGAATACTATGAAGGAGGGAATTAATGAGAATATGGAAGGGGAAAGAGCTAAGCAAGTATAAAATCCAGGTGAAATTTCAGTTGTGGCTTAATCCACAGATTAAGGATAATTTATAAAGCATTAAATTGCAGTGTGTGTGTGTGTGTGTGTGTGTGTGTGTGTGTGTGCTTGCACTCATGTGTGCCTATGTATGTGTGTATCCTCTTTCTCTTTTTCCCTTCTACTTGTATGGAAGCTATAAATTTATTCTCTATCATTTTAATAATCACCTTGGTTATGTTAACATGTTTACATGGCATAGACAATCAACAGTCACTGTTGGCAATGATCAGGAGCAAAGGAATGCTCATCTCTAGTGTTTGGAGTGAAACTGTTGCATGCATTTTGGAAAACAGTGCAATAGCACATACTGAAGTTGAGCGCAAGTATGCCCTATGTCCCAGCATTTTCACAGTCATATAATGTAGACAAACTTTTGAATGCATGTACTAAGAATGTTCACAGGTGCATTGTTGCAATATTAAAAATCTCGAACAACTCAAACATTCATTGGTTGTTATAGAATGAAATAGTAACTCCAATTATATAAGAGAGCATTGAACAACAATGAAAATGGATGAAAACAGGATATGCAACAAATGAGTATAAAAATGTGTATCTTTATACTCATTTGTATATTACCTTTATACAAAGGTAATACATTACCTTTATACAAAGCCTACACACAAGCAAAACTAGCTAATATATTTTTACTGGGGGCACGGTGCACAAAATTCAGGAAGTGGGGGCCCTCAGCCTGGCCTGCACCTTCTCACAATCCAGTACCCCTCAGGGAATGTCTATTGCTGGTTTGTGCCCACACTTTTAACAACAGCTCCATTGTTGTTCTTTCCTTTTCATACTTATATCCATTGGGATTAGTAGGGATTCAGTGTGTATACATTTTGGGGGACACCCTGTATATCTCTAGTCAGCAGTGAAAGGAACCAATGGGGGTTTAGAACCCCCAGACAGGGAACCTCGCTCACTCTCCACATGTCTCCTCACTCCGCTTTCCACCTTCGAGGGTAGCAGGAGAATCAATGTTTTCTCTCATTAACTCGGAAAAGCACATCATGTCACCACTGCCTGGCAGGAGTGCACTAAGCACGGAGCGAGAGAGGCTCAGTCAGGGCGGCCTTCACTCTTGGGCACCAGCACCCCGAGTGCACATTCTTCCTCAGCAGTCGCCCTGACTCTCCTGCCATTTCACTGAGAGGATGGACCTCCTTGCCTCCTAAGGGTTCCTGATCTCTAATGAGGCACCTCAGCAAGGGCTGCCCCGAGCCCACCAGGTGTGTCTGTCTGTCTGTCTGCACCTGCTCCCACTTCAGCACCTGCATTAGGCCACGGAGGTGATCTCGTCGCCACACTGGCCTCTACGGGAACAGGGTGTCACCACTCCGCCCTCTCACTGTCATCTCACAGGTGCCCACCCTGAGCACCCAGATAGGCTCCAAAGAACAGAGGGGATGAGCACACGTTGTGTGGGGACTTAGGCATGCTCTGTAGGCATCAGAGAAGTGCGGCAGAGGGGCGGGGGAAACATGTGCACACCGTGGTCTAGGACTGTTGTGGGTGTGCATGGGTGTCAGCGTGCTGGGAGATGTTCACACACAAGGTGGGGGGAGAGGATGTGTGCACTGGAGGCCTGTGCCTGTGCAGATCTGCAAACTCATGCGGTGCAGCCAGGAGGATGTCAATCTGGCCCACCACAGAGGCTGTCCCTGTGATCACCTACCTTTTGGGCCAGGAGGAGGGACTAGTGCAGCCACTCCTTAGTGCTGATGGCCCACAGGTGCTGCTTCAGCTTGGCCTGCAGGCTCAGCTTGGCGCTGCTGCCATGTGGGGAGTACAGGCCGCCCTCTGCTGGACCCACCTCCCCACCTCTGTCCCCACTGCCACTTTCCCAGGACCTGCCCTGGGCAAGTGGCAGCAGCCATCCAGAGCTCTCACAGCTGCCACAGCCACCATGTGGGGAGTACAAGCCATGCTCCGCCAGGCCCGTCACCCCGCTCCCCTGACCCCGCTGCTACAAGTCCCCGCCGCCCATATCTACTGTTTGCGCAACCTGCTGACTGGTCTTCACATGACAGCGTCCTGGACAATTTGCATATCCCTCTATTATTAGAATAGATGAGTGCATATATAAGTATAAAACTTTAAAGAAAGTAATGAAATGATTACTATACGACATAACTCAATAATAATTTCTGGCCCAGCCTGCATGGCTCAGAGGTTGAGCATTGACCTTTGAACCAGCAGATCACTGTTTGATTTCCAGGTTGTTGGCTCTATCCCCAGTGTGGGGCGAGCAGGAGACAGTCGATCAATGATTCTCTCTCATTGATGTTTCTATCTCTCTATCCCTTCTTTTCTGAAATCAATAAAATATATTTAAAAATAATTATTATTACTGGATTAGGGGAGGGCGCGAGTGCAAGCTGGGAGAAAGGGAATTTCTAATGCTCTGATTCTTAATAAGGACATGGTGCTGATCATGCTTTAAATGATTTGTACATATAATTGGATAAATTTTAACATGATTAGCATGAAATATTTTAGAACTTAAGTTTATAAGAATTTTCATACACCTTCCCTTACTCAACCGCCTAATTAATACCCATGAGATTTTTCTTTCATAGTGTCATCTGTTTGTCTTTTATAGAGGTTATAGTTTGTAATTATCTATTTACCTGGGTGTTTATGATTACTGTCTGTTTTTCCCTCTAAGCTGAAACATGTTCCCTGACAGCTGAAACCATGTCTGCTTTGTTTATCATAGTGAGGGTGGAAGAGTTTCTTCCTCATGAGGTTGTACATGATTGAGGTTAAGGTTTTGAGAACTTCCTCATCTGTGAAGATAAATTTTGCCAAAAGCCGGAGTGGGAAGTTTTCCTAAAGCAATTCTGCAACCACTCAACTAAGATAACATAAAGAGAGCAGCACAATACATAGTACATTCTTGATAAACATCAGCACTTGCTGGTGTTGTTGGAATTCTGCATCTTTTTATTGAACTCTAACATCCAAATGGTTGTCCACATTAATTTCATTAAAATTTGTTTCAATATGGAAATAATTATGTCATAGTCACTCTTTCTTGATGAGAATATATATAAATGTAGAAGTTTGTCAAATCCATGAATAGTGATTATGGTATCAACAAGGGCCCAAGAATGGGTAGAAAAATCAATTTAACAAGTTTCAACCAACATTTGTTGTAATAAGATAGAAAAATAAATATCAGAGCACAGGTAAATAATTTATGAACCTTTGGTTTTTACTATATATACCACTTGTAATTCAATGTAAGGTGCTATCTATTCGTCTTGAGAAGCATGCTGATGTCAGGGATAGTAATGGGAAAGAATGGCCAGTGGCAATTGTAAGAAGCAGTTGATTGAAAATTGATAGACTTTTCTTTCACAGACATTAAAATATTGTTAAAAATTGTGTATTAAAACAAAGCCTATCCACACATAAATATAGGTCTCTGTTTTTAGATATATTTCTTAGTGTGGATTGTGGCCAAAAATATTTCAAGGCCACTGCTCTAGAAAATGTTTTACTTTCTGTTCCTTAAATCAGAGCTGGATAGAATATTCCAAAATCATACATATATCAGATGATTCAACTATAGTGCTTATAAGAAAGTCTTTGGGAAATTTAAGCAAAAGTGATATTTAGAAAATTGAAACAAAAATTTAATACATATTATGACATTGTCAGTCAATAAGAAATTAAACCAGTAACAATATTTCACTGATCCTGAACTGTAACAGCTAACCAAGACCAATGAAAACCTTGATTCACAAAACACCAAGAAATTGGACAGACATTTAGATTCCTCAAGAACGTTAACTCTTAAAAGAATTATACCAGATTTTTTTGTAAAGTATGCAATTCATTGCCACTTAGGTGTGATTAGTGTAGGTTGTTTTTGTTTTTATTTTTAACATTTCCAAAGATTAAAACATGAATGAAAATAAAATAATCATAGCAGCTTTCAGAATTATTCGCTTACTTTGTTCTAAACACCATTATCTTTTCTTTCTGCAGCCTCAAGTGCAGAATTGAGCAGGTTGATAAATCTATAAACATCGTGGAAAGAATTGTAGAGAGGAACTGGAGCCACCCGGATGCCATTGGGTTCCCGCTTGTCACACTGTGGGGTTGAAATAAAGCCACAATGGTGTCAGCATTATTTTCATAATGAAAATCTGCATTCAAGATGAATTTATATGAAATAGTCATGCTGATTTTCCTAAAACTTACTATATAAGCTGTTTTTCACTTTAATGAAAATATAATGTTTCTATGGTATGTGAAACTCTCTTCTTAATTATAATTAAACTATTAGTGGATTGTTACATGAATATCCAAAAGCACTTTTCTGAAATCCATTCAGGTCATCTTCTTTAAGCATTCTACAGAGCATATGTATGATTCCTCTGTGGGAAACCCTGGAGAGCCGGGAATCTTGGATACATTTAAATGAATGAGAACCTCACCCTGTCCTAGAGAGTTCTAGTCCAATTATCCTTACATTTATTTCTCTAAGCCCAAATCTTACAGGTAAGGACTTGGCTATATTCCTGATGTGCACCTTGAGAAGAAAGATTCATTTGATATGAACCCAGAGAAAGAATTTATCTGCGCCATGGTCAACCAAGGGCCCCAATTTTATGAAGTAGAGTCTAGTGTCATTAGTTGATGAAAACCTCAGATTGAACTCTTAGCTTGTTTATGCCATCTGAGTCAACCACGGTGGGGAAACCATGGTTTCATCTTTCTACCAACAGACTGAGACCTGCCGCATCCAATCAGGATGGTTCAATTTGTATCCTTATTTTAACTGTACTGACCAATCACAACTGCACAATCGGATACCTCACTTACATAAAATGGACGTAATTGGAAACCTGGGTGAGAACTTTCACTGTAAAAGGCGGCTTCCCCTTTGTCCAGGGTCATTGGATACAATTTAGGTTGCTGTCTAAACCTGTGTTCCCAGGCTGTATCTCCTTTTGCTCAAATAAATCCGTTTTATTATTTATTACAGTCTAAAATTAGTTTGGGTTTACACTGAGAATGCTGAAATGGTATGAAATGGCCCAGACAATTTGGCCTAGCCTGAAGATCACTGGAACTATATTAAGAAATACCCACTACAGGCTAGACAGCATAGGAAATGGTTCATGTGTGTTGGTCCATTTCATTCCCATACTAACTTTTCGAAGTAAGTATGCATCCACACCCCAAAACAGATGAGAAGTCTCAGGCTAATACATGTTAACTTTCCCAAGAGCACCTGTCTTGGGCATAGGATTTGCAGGGCTGATATTCTGATTGGTGCCTCCAGCGTCTGCGGTGCTGACCTCTCCTAAAGGTTTGGAGGGCCACATGAGTGGAGCAGTCCCTAGATTGCATTATCACCACTTTCCCCTGAAATTATTCTCTTAACACCTTATTAGTTCCTTTCAAGAGACTCAGAAGGCAACTTTGGCCCAATGGTTAAAAAAAATTATTTCATATAATGTTAACACTCCTCAGATGAAATAATACTTGCTGCTCAAACTGTAATAAAAGTGAATAAATTACATAAAACGGTTCTTTTTATCCAAAATTTGTGGTTTCTTCTTCTTTTTTTTTTTATCAGAAATGACAGATCTCTGTGCCCTTTCATTAGCAAGTCCTGAATACTGACTTAGTTGGCACTTAATTTATCCTCAGTAACTGACTGATGGATGTGAAATTACATGCACCAGTGAATAAACTAAAGAATCCAAATTTCCCCCCTAACATGCAATCCCTAGAGAAAAGCGGGTAGCAAAGCAAGAGATATACTTACAACCACTCCTCTTTTTTCTAGTTCTTGATATACAGACTTTATTGGGACGGAAAATGTTAGTGTTAGCTGGCAGCCACGTTCCTCTACGCGGGAGGGAGTGATGATGTTCACCACGGGTGTCTTGGTTTCTGCTTTGTCTTTGCCATAGTAGTGCTTGAGCAGGAATTCCAGGTAACCCGTGAGCAAAACAGACTTCCTTCTCAATGCTTTCATGGTTGCTTTCTTAAAGATCTGTAGAAGGAGAAACAGATTAATAACATTTTGTTTTTTTACAAAGAAGCAAAAATCGCCACTTTTAACCTCTCCAGAAACCACCCTATGTTAAATAGTCGTTTTGTAAAAATGTGTCAAATCCTTTGCCATCAAGAACTGAAAGCAAAGTTTCTATATCAGAAAAAATGGCAAAAATGCCATTTAAACAATACTTGCAAAAGAAAAGAAAAAAGGTGATGCAATGTTCCTTCAGAATAATTTAAATTGGCTTAGAATAAATTACTCTAAGTATCCCTTTATAAAGGAATTGAAATATAAAATTTGAACGCTTTTTCCAAAACCTTCATAATCAAGAAGACGTTTTCTCCTCTGATATAAGTTTGCTTGGTCCACAAAACGATACAGTAGGAGCTGAATGGGCATGCCTATGTGGAAGGTCATGTTGAAAATATGATTTACAGTTGTTTGACCAAGTCCTGAAACTCCTCCAGTTTAGCAGTGAGAAAACAAGCAAGTTTTATCAGACAGAGAAGCAAAAATGTTACACAATACATTTGTTAGTACTAAAGCCTCGGCCTTTATTTCCCTTTCTCCTCCCCCCTCCACCCCCACCTCCTCCCTGCTTTTTTTCTTCTTTCATCACTTTTTTCCCTATTACACTCTCGTATGGTCTGAAAACACTGCAATTTCCTGCCTGAGGTGTCTTATACTAAGATGAGTGACAAGGGCATACAGTAACTGGTGCTGGAACATTAGAGGTCAGAAGAGACATGCTTTTCTAGCTTATCTCTTAAGGTCAAGTAGAGTTTAAAGATATATCCTCCCTCTAAGAGCTGAATGAACTTCAAACGGAGGGTGATGCACTGGCCTGCCACTTTCTGTCCCTTCACTGTATCATGTCATGCCACAGCCAAGGCAAGGTCACTCAATGGTATGTAGACTTCATAAAGTCTATGAAAACACAGATTTCTGTATATATGTGTGGGCCCGCATTCTAATGGGAATAAACACTTTAGGCATACATTTTCTTCCCCTTCGTTGCATGGAGGGTATAGATTTGGTTAAAGAAGAAGAAGGGAGTTGTATTTTGTTTTTCTTTCAACATTTTCTTTATATTACAATGACTTGAAAAAAACACAATTCATACCAATCTGGACTTAACGTTCACAGCTCTCTCATCCAGAACCACGTATCTGACTGCTACTCGACATTCTAATGGAATGCATGTACAACAGGCATTTCTATCTAAACATATTCAACATTGGGATTCCCAATATTCCTCCCAGTCACCTTCTCCTGTAGCCTTCACTACCTCAGTTTTGGGCAATTCCCTCCCCACCAGTTTTGCAGGTCAATCACTTTGGTATCATCCTTGACTGCTTTATTTTCAAAAACAACTCCCACAAATCCATCTGCAAAACCTGGTAGCTCTAACTTAAAACTGTATCTAGGATAAGACCACTTCTGACTACCCCCTTTCCCAGGTGTCTAACCCAAACCACTCATCTCTCAAGCAGCATAGAATGCTGTCTCCCTGGGCTCCCCCCCTCACAGACCATGTCTGCAGCCTGGGAGGAGATCCGCTGCAAGGGGAAGCTGCATCTTTGTTTCAGAAGACATCTGAGGGCCCAGAGTAAAGAAGACAGTCATTTCCCCTTATTCATGGCTTCGCTTCCCGCAGTTTCAGTTGCCCATGGTTTCAGTTGTCCCCCGCTTCAATCAAAGTCCAAAAATTAAATTAAAAGTTCCAGAAATAAATGATTCATAAGTTTTAAATTGTGCACCACTCTGAGTAGCCTGATGAAAACCTGTTGCATTTCTGCTCCATGTCTCCCAGGCTGTGAATGTCCCTTTGTCCATTGTCTCCACGCTGTGTGCCCGCCCACTTAGTCACCAGCGTGGTTATCAGACCACCTGGCATGGCATGGCAGTGCTTCTACTCAAGCAAGTCTTACTGCATAATGGCCCCAACGTGCAAGCGTAGTGATGCTGGCAGTTTGGACATGACAATGAGAAGCTGTAAAGTTTGTCCTTTTAAGTGAAAAGCTCCAAGTTCTCTACTTAATAAAGAAAGAAAGAAAAAAAATATTTGAGGAGGTTCCTAAGAACGAGTCTTCTATCTGTGAAATTATGAAAAAGGAAAAAATTATAAAGAAGGGTGAGTATAGTACAATGAATTATTTTGAGAGAGACCACATTTGCATAACTTTTATTACAGTATACATTGTTATATTTTGTTCCATTTTATGATTAACTATTGCCATTAATCTCTCACTATGCCTAATTTATAAATTAAGCTTTATCTTAATTTATAAATTAGGTGGCCTGGTGCACAAATTCATGCCTGGGTGGAGTCCCTCGGCCTGGCCAGTGATCGGGACCGTCTTGCCCAGTGCTGATCAGGGCCAATCAGGCTGGCTGGCCAGGGGTGAAGGACTGAGGAAGGCTGGCCAGCTACAGGAGGTTGGCTGTTAGAGTGCACTGACCCTGAGGGGGGCAGTTCCTACATTGAGCATCTGCCCCCTGGTGGTCAATATGCATCACAGCAACTGGTCATTTAGTTGTTTGGTCACTTGGGCTTTCATATATATATATATATATATATATATATGGAATATGATATATACTATGTTCATACTCTCTGTGGTTTCAGGCTTCCACTGTGGGTCTTAAAATGTATCCCCTTTGGGTAAGGATAAACGACTATATTCTTTAGGACTCAGGGTAACCCCGGTTACATGGAGTCTGATAGGAAGCATTTCTTGTGTAAAACAAAACGTAACATGTCTGGCACAAGGAGAACTCTGAGAAGGAACATCTCCAAGCTGTTGTGTGTGTTTTTAAATATGTTTCTATTGATTCCAAAAAGAAGAGGGAGAATGAGAGAAACATCAATGATAAGAGAGAGAATCGTTGACCAGCTGCCACCACTGAGGATTTTGCCCGAAACCCTGGCATGTGCCCTGACATGGAATTGAACCATGACCTCCTGGATCATAGGTGGCACTCAACCACTGAGCCCAGTTTAAGAATCAGCATTCTCACAGAGGCAAGGTGCAGCCCACCAGTGTTTTGATTCTCAGGTTTGGAATATAAAAATATGAGAATAATCTTTCCAAGCTTCTCTTTGGATATTAATAATTATTTGAGAAAAATTTTATTAATAAAAAATTCTGGAAAATTTCCTGGTTCTGACATGGGCCCCATAAGATGTAGATGGGGGCAATGTTAGAAGTAGTACTTTTAAGGATATTTCATTTGTATTCGTAGGTTAGCAAGACTTTTGGGGAATATTACTTAAGCTCATAGTTTTTTGTAGGAGGCTTTTGCCTTGCAAATTTCTCTTAATAACTAGAAATGATTTTTTTAACAAATATCTCAGTGTTAACATGTCATTGCTCTTTGTTAACAATAAATTAACTTATATCTAAAACTGTTTTCCACCTTACCACCGCAGGTGCGTTGTGAGGCACTATAAAATTCTTTTCACAGAGTGTAAATGTCTCTGCCAAACTCTCACATCAAAATATTAAGAGGGGCTAATAGGAGGAGTTAACAGGGAAAGGGAACAAAATATCCTCTTTCCTTCTTGGCTTCTGATCATTTCTGTGTTTTCAGTACAGAGGAAGAATATTTTTTAATAGAAAAAAATGAAAAGTGTAATTTGAAGATATTCAGCTTATAATAGAATTCTTGGCAAGTTTCATCTACTTGGGTTTTTTTTTTTTTTTCTCAGTAAAATGAATGCAAAGTTAGATAAGCTTAAATAGGAAAATAAGCATAAGCATGATGTTTTCAATTGTGATGGTTTTCTTTTAAATTCTTAAAAAATGGCTCTCTGATAACTTTCTGAGGAAATGCAAAGTAAACTTCTGACTTGCAATGTATTTTATTTGAGTGCTCTAATTTTTATTTTGAAGTTATTTATTTCATTTTTAATTTATGTACCAAAAGGGTCTAAAATTTTTATATATTGCTACATACAAATATGACCTTTCAAATTACAACATGAATATTATGTCAGTTCAAGTTAGTAATTGAAAATTGAGGAGACCGCCAAAACCGGTTTGGCTCAATGGATAGAGCGTCAGCTTGGGGACTGAAGGGACTCGAGTTCGATTCTGGTCAAGGGCATGTACCTTGGTTGCGGGCATATCCTCAGTAGGGGGTGTGCAAGAGGCAGCTGATCAATGATGACTCTCTCGCATCGATGTTTCTAACTCTCTATCTCTCTCCCTTCCTCTCTGTACAAAAATCAATAAAATATATTTAAAAAAAAAAAAGAAGAAAGAAAATTGAGGAGACCTCAGAACTGCTCTGGTTGAAACATTTTTACTTAGAAATTTAGGTAAATCAATTAACAATGAGTAGTTGTCACTTATGTAAGCCACATTCCGTGTCCCCACAAGGGGTACAATATTTGCCAATTAGTTCCTACTCTAGTGCTCTTTGCCTTGACCCACAATATTTTTAAAGTATCTATAATAATAAAAGTGTAATATGTTAATTAGACAGGACAGCTGAATGACCTTCCAGATGTCATTCCAGATGTCCTTCTGGATGAAGCTGCAGTGGCAGGGGCTGAGGCAGATGCGGTTAGGGGCGATCATGCAGGCAGGAGAGTGGTTAGGGGTTATGAGGCAGGCTGGCAAGTGGTTAGGGGTGATCAGGCATGTAGGAAGGTGAGTAGTTAGGATCCAGTGGTCCCGGACTGGGAGATTGGGCCTAAACTGGCAGTTATACATCCCCCAAGGGTTCCCGGACTGTGAGAGGGTTCAGGCTGGGCTGCGGAACACCTCTCCTCCCTTGTGCACAATTTTTGTGACCAGGTCTCTAGTTGTATAAATGATTAAGAAGCAACAATATAAAGAAAATGATAGTTTGAAACTGACTCTAAGGTGCTATTTTAATAGTATAGTTAAACGTACATAATTATAAACAACCATTTCAATCCTTTGCTTAAAATTCCTATTGTAACCCTGAGATCGTGCTCATGTGCTTTGCTTCTTAAATATATACTCTTTCCTGCATTTGGCATTTGACTATGTGGAATATTTTTCGAAAAGGCAAGTAGACAAAACAAACAAAGGTAGTTTGATTCAGGTATTTATTTATTTCATTTACTCAAACTTCAATTACCTATCTTCCATATGCCGTAACTTCTAAACAAATAAGTTCTGACATGGTTAACTTACTGGTGCTAACTTACATGGCAAACTCAGAAAGGGAAACATTGTAACATTAGGTAGAGAATGGGAAACAATGAAATATATTCGTTTGCAATTTCAGAATTTTGCAATTTATAATGTGGAGAAAGAGTTTCAAAAGAATACTTTCATCAACCTAAGGTTTGATTACCTACATCTAATTTCCTTCAGGTCATGGCCTGAGCAGTGAGTGACTTCTAAGAGGCTCCCCAGAAGTACTCAGGTGGTAAGAAGCTCCAGAGAAGTGGATATCCCTCTTCTGGTGGCTCGTAGGTCCCTTTGCTGGGTTTAAACTTAGATAGTAAAGGAAGAGATAAATCAGTCTTCTGATTCCAGGTGATAATAGAAGCTTGTCTGGGGACTATAGTACACTATGGTAGGAAAGTACTGGTAGGGAAAGTTCAGAATCAGACTCTTGCCCTGGCAGAGGGGTGAATACTGCAATAGCTCACCCACCGCAGAGAAAACACCAGTGGAAAAAGTCTAAAGAAAATGTCTAGATATGGCTGAGAAAGACAAGAAGAATAAGAGGAAATAACTTTAAATACTAGTTGTTTTTTAAGGTATGCCTTGGTAGCTTTTTTAAGTAGTATAATTCATCTTCTCCCTGATATAAACTGGCAAGTAAGCAAAACATTTTGTTTTGAAATGTTCAACAGAAGTTTTTCTCTGAATGACTTCTATGCAAACAATTGAAGTTTCATTATCTAATCTGCTAAACTGATTCTCTCCAAAATTTATCACTAACAAAAATCTTGTTTACTGAGTTCATTTCAACCTAAAAAAAAAAAAAAAAAAAAAAAAAAAAAAAAAAAAAAGCTGAAAAGTGAGAACAGCGCAAGTTCCATCTAGTGGTCAAACTGAGAACCTGCTCTTTAAATGAGCATGAAATGAAATTACCAGGATTTAGTAGAGAAGTTGCATAAAAATAGAGGAACTTGACACTGCCTCCCAGTGGGCAAAATGAGAGACTGCGATAATTGTTCGCAGATTCCTAGGATTTTAGGTTTAGAAGAGAGTTTGGAAGTATTTCCAGTCAATCCACAACACGATCTCCTAAAACATCACAAACTATTTTATCTTCGGGTGATTTAAAATTTTTGAAAATAAAATTTTATTTGAATAGCTATTTGTTTAAAATCTCTATTAAAAATGTATATGTAGCTGATTCTCTCTTGTCAATGTTTCTCTCTATCCCTCTCTCTTCCTCTCTGTAAAAAATCAATAAATTATTAAAAAAGTATATGTATACTTAAAATATATTTTACTTAAATATGTGTGTGTGTATATATATATATTTGCATAATATATCTATTTATACTGATATTGTGCATTATAAATTATTAAAACTATATTTACTTGAATAAATTTAATCTCATTCTGAAATTAATATTTGAATAATTAGTTGAAATATATAGATAGGTAGAAATACATAAAATTATCTAGATATATTGAAATAGGAAGATAGATATGCAGATCTAGGAAAACAAACTGATTCCTTGGATATTATTATTTAGGGTAAGACTAACTATCAATATTTTAAGTAAAAATATGAATGAATTTAAAGAAAAAATATTTAGCCAGTAAGAGTAGAGATTATATACATGACTATAATGGCATAAATCCCATTTTAACAAAATTTACCCTAACTCATAAAACAACCTTACCCAATCTTTGTTTTACTCTGACTCATTATATATATATATATATATATATATATATATATATATATATATATATATATATATGTATATACACATACACACACACACACACACACACACACACACACACTAGAGGCCGGTGCATGAAATTCACGCGGGGGGATGGGGTCCCTCAGCCCAGCCTGCACCCTCTCCAATCTGTGACCCCTCAGGAGATATCCAACCACTAGTTTAGGACCAATCCTCAGGACATCTCTCTCACAATCTGGGACCACTGACACCTAACTGCTCACCTGCCAGCCTGCCTGATCGCCCTTAGCTGCCCCCCCCGCCCCACCTCCGCCAGCCTGATCACTCCTAACCACCTCTACCTGTGGACCTGATCGCCCTAACTGTCCCCGCCCCCCGCCAGTCTGGTCACTCCACACAGCCTGCCTGTACAGTTGTCTGGTGGTCCCTCACTGCCCCCTCTGCTGGCCTGGTTGGCCCACGCATCCTGCTGTTGAGTCGTTACTGCGATGGAGTCCTGGACAATTTCTATTATATACATACTCTCTCCTTAGTCTTCCTAAAACTTTGTCAGTTCATTGATTGACATAACTAGAAAGACAGAGTCCCCTGTACTCACAGCATTGTCTGGCGCACAGCATTCTCTTCGTAAATAAATGCTGAATGATTTAATTAATTGAGACTTAAATATTGCAATAGAAGGTTAAGTAACTCACTCAAGTTTATATAAATTGGAAGTGGAACTAAAAGTATTTCTCCCCAGGTGTGTTATATTTAACATCTACTAAGTGCCAAAAATGTGCCAATCATCCTGCTAGGGGCCGGAGACACGCACAAAAGGTAAAAATTCACATACAGACACATCCTAAAGGTGGACATTACTCTTTGCACAATGTTTGTGCACAGAGCACGTTATAATCTTGTTGATTAGCAGAGAAAGTACTACAACATGTCACAATCAGGTAAAGGAAAAGGAAAAGATGTGGGAAGATTGGCACACGGATCACTTACCTCCAAACTAGCCTGTAAAGAACAGACCAACAACATGGGAGGATTTGAAATTCTAAATCCATTGGCTCCAGGGATTAACTGCAATTCTGAAAAATTCATATTATGTCATTTTAATACAATGTATCTTTAAAAATTAGCCTTTATGGATTTTTTTCAATGACAGAGCAGTAGAGAGAAAAAGAATTAAATATTTATATGCCTAAGATTTCTGAGATATTTTTAGAGAAAATCCATGGACCTAAAAAACTGGCACATTTTCCCTTTACCTGTAATGTCTATCTCCCCTGCCCACACCTTCGTAGGAAATTACCAAGCACTAGAGCTCTTAGGCACAAGATAAAAATAGTTTCTTATAAAAGCTTTTCTGGACCCTGTCCTCTGCCATTCCCAAGACTGTATTCCTTGTTCTGCTTCATGCTATGTTCTTTCATTATGAAACCAAGTCAATGAGAGGAAGACGTCAGGATTTGAATGATTTGTAATCATAATGCTGCCCAAAGGCAGACGTATCAAATGAAATGGCCTATGAAAGTGACTTTTAGCACCAGGTCAAGTGGCTTTTCTTAGGGAAAAAGGGGAAGTTAAAAAAAATAATCTGCCTAAGTATGATATGTTTAAAAGGTGAATTAATATAAGATATTATCCTAATCAGAATTAATTAGATGGAAAGTTAAATCCAATAGAGTGAAAATTGCTAGCTAGAGACCAAATTAAAACTAAGACTGACTAAATAAACCACATGTGTCAAACACAAGGCCCGCGGGCCAAATCCGTCCCGCCAGGCCTTGCAATGTGGCCCGCACCGCGCTGTCATCACTGCACTCCGCTGCGTTTCCATCACAATGACAGTTTATGACTGTTCAGTAAACCATTCGGCCCGCGATTTAGGCTGGATTTTAGATTTTGGCCCCTTCTCTGATTGAGTTCGACACCCCTAAAATAAACTTTAGAATATGCTGGGTATCTCCAGATTCATCTAATCCAGGGTTAGATAAACTGTGTCCTGTGGGCCAAATGTGGCTCACCACTTGTCTTTATAAATAAAGTTTTATTGGAACACAGCCGTATCATTCATTTATGTAGGTCGATGACTACTTTAGCATTACAATGGTAGAACTGAGTTTTTGCCACAGTGACAGTATAAACCAAAAAGCTTAAAATAACTTCAGTTTTATCCTTCCCAGAAAAACTCTGCTGCCTGATCTAATCCACCTCCCTCATTTACAGATAAGAAATCTAGCACAAAATTTTAAGTAACTGGACTGATAACAGAGCTCATTATTTCTGCAGCCAAGATAAAATACAGTTTTCCTGATCCTGGTTTTTGTAAATGTGAATTTGGTTAAAATACTATCTCAGGGTTGGACGTCACCTAAATGCTCAAGTTTGTTTAAGTGGAACTCTCACAGCATTCGAAAAGCTTTCTGTGTTCCATGAGATGGAAGAATAGAGTCATTAAGGGAAAGAAACAAGGCAGTACACCCCTGTTCCTGGTGTCCTCTCATTTCTGCCTACTGAGGTTTAACTGCTACTGCTCAGTATGTGGCAAAACTATAAAAGGAGGACAAGTTGGAAGAAGAGAGGATAAAAATGAAATAACACTGCTGTTTGCTATTTGGTTTAAATGTGTCTTTACCCTCAAACTAACTCCTGAAATAGATATTATTCACATTAAATATGTGAGAGAGAAAAATTCCAAGATGACATAATTCGTGCAGCATCACAAAGTTACTAAGCAGCAAAGTGGGATTGACACCGAGGTCTTCCAGGGTCTGACTCCAAGACAAAAACTCCTCTTGTCCTCACTGCCTGATGTGTCAGGCACTCCATGTTGAAGAGATCGGATCCTTTATGCTAAATTTCACCTCCTCTTATCTCCCTACAAAGGGATAGACTCGACATCATGTTGAAGTCTATAAACACTTAGTCTTACACTCTGGAAATGTCACTTCTTATTTTAAAAATTCTCAGTGGCATTTTCAAAGTGCACTCTCCAGGAGGCATGTATAATACATGTCACACAAAGACTGATGAAAATTAAAATAAAGTTAAAATAAAATCACTTATAAAGTTAAATGGAGTACACTTACTGTTATCCATTTTAAATCTGGTGCTGAGTTCATGACCAAACCATCCCAATAACCTAAAATATAAATAACAACATCAGATACTTTGGTCTACAAAAAAACCCACAATTAATATAGAAATCTAGGGCCTGCATATTGAAACAATTTATGATACAAATTATCAAATACTTGAACAGATAAATTCCACATGACATCTTAAAGCCATTCATATTTATAACCATATCAAGATTAAGAATTAAATTAACTTTTCATATCACTAGTTATATTTTTTTGTAAAGAGCTATATTTAATTACCTTTTTCATATTTAAAATAAAATTAAATGAACAAAAATGCTTAGCTTCTAAAATTTTAAAACAAATATAAAAGTTCAAAAAAGAAAAATATTAAAATAATATATTTTACAATAAAATATCTAAATAGAAATGGTATAAAAAGTATATAATACAATAGTTGAAAATGTATCAATAATTTTCTAAAGAAATTGATTACTTTTGTATTTTAATTAAAAGGTTAATTTTTGTTATAGGAAATATATAGGAAAGTTATATGAATGTGTAATAGATGGAAAAATACAAAATAGTTTAAAAAATATAAAATTTGAGGAAGAGCAATAAAATATTCCTGGTAGTAGGTTGTGTCTAAATAAATTTTTAACTTTAAAAGGGCTATAAAATAGTGAATAAGTAAAACAGTAGAAACTTAATAAAATAATATCCCATAAAATGGAAAATTGCCAAGTAGAAATGCAGAAATAGGACTGATTATAGTTTGACAATAAGAGGTTAAAAAATGAGCTTGCAGAAATCAGAGAGAAATTAGAGAAAAAAAAGAAGAATTTGGAAGGAATGCAAGGATGTTAGGAACCTAGAATACATCAAGGGGCAGAGGATAGCTGGGAAAAAAAATAAAAATAAAAAATGATTTAAAACAGTTTAGGGAGAAAATCCTATATAATAAAACCCTAATATGTAAATCAACTGAACTGTGATTTGCTGGCAGGCTGACATCCCTAATCTGGGCACAAGGACATTTCCTGAGGGGTCCTGAGAGGGCATAAGCAGGGCTGAGGGACACCACTTCCCCAGTGCACGAATGTCATGTACTGGGCCTCTAGTAAGGAAAATAATAGACAAAACAGTTCTATCATCACCAGAGTGAACTTCCAAAGAAGAAAAGCAAACAAACAGAAAAACTTTAAAAAATGGTATAATTCTCCAGGCCAGGTGTGGCTCAGTGTTTGATCCGCTAACCATGAACCAGGAAGCAGCAGCTCAGTGCCTATGAGCATGCTGGATCCCCAGTAGGAGGCGTGCAGGCGGCAGCCAATCAATGATTCTCTCTCATTGATGTTTCTATTCCTCTCTCCGTCTCCCTTTCTCTCTCTGAAGTAAATAAAAACATACTTAAAAGATGAAATAAAACCTGGAGTCATGTTTTAAAAAGATCCTCTTTAAAAAGTTGTAATTCAAGACAATTTTGATGAAATCAAAACAGATTTAAATCTACATATTGAAATAAAGACTAAGTTGTCTGAAAGACTTGGGAGAATTAATCTAGAGTGGTTAATTTTATTTATAGTTTATTAAAGTTAATGATTTTAAGGATGAATAAACAAACAAACAGAACTGTGTTTGCAAATAAAAATGGTAAACCTAGAATAAATGAAAAAATATCAGCGTGGCTTCAAATTTATCTAACACAACCATTTATTGAGAGAGAATAATGTAGAAATACCTGTATGATACTCAAAGAAAGAGAAACAAAACCTAAAGTACAAATATTAGGTTTGGATAAGGCAAACTGTATAAAGGTTTTGGTGTTGATCAAACAAGAGTTCAGCTAATTTTTTTTTTTTTCATAAACTGTTTTTGAAAATCTGCCTAAGAGTGAACTTAAGTCAGCCGAGAGGACTAGGGAAATTATGACAAAAAGATGTTTGATGACTATTGAATGTATTTAATTATAAAACTAAGAATAAACAAATGTAGAGATAGCACATAAAGAAAATGTTACATGATAATGTAAAAATAACTAACAAAGTAGGGGGAAGTAATTTCCCTGCATAGTCATCTATAATTTAAACTTAATAAATCAAGTAATAGAAGTACAGTCAGATCTAAAAATACAAAGTAAACACCAAGAAAGTAAACATTGACTAACTCAGGGGGTAATGAGAGAATAGGCAGAGGAAGAGAAAACCTGCTAACTCTGTTGTTGCTCATGAAAGGGAACTAATAGAAAAAGGTAAAATTTTAAATTAAAATCTTGAATATCAGAAAAACTAATTAAAACTAATAAATAAGCCTTGGCCGAAACCGGTTTGGCTCAGCGGTAGAGCATCGGTCTGCGGACTGAAAGGTCCCGGGTTCGATTCCGGTCAAGGGCATGTACATTGGTTGCGGGCACATCCCCGGTGGAGGGTGTGCAAGAGGCAGCTGGTCGATGTTTCTCTCATCGACGTTTCTAGCTCTCTATCTCTCTCCCTTCCTCTCTGTAAAAAGTCAATAAAATATATTAAATAATAAATAAATAAATAAATAAATAAATAAATAAATGAGCCTTGGCCAGTGTTCTCAGTGGTTAGAGCATAGGCCTGAGCATGGAAGGGTTGCAGGTTTCATTCCCAGTCAAGGGTGCGTACCTGGGTTTCAGGCTCAATTCCTGGCCTTGGATGGGTAGCATGCGGGAGGCAACCAACTCTTTCTCCCTCTCCCTCTTCCTCTCTCTCTTTATCCTCCTTCCCTTTCTCTCCTCTCTCTCTCACATTTCCACTCTCTCTCAAAATCAATGGGAAATATATTCTTGGGTGAAGATCAATAACAAAAAATAATGAACAAAAATAGCAAAACAAGCCTCACATTGAAAAACATTAAAAAGTTCTAGAAGCATAAAGTATATCATTAAATTAAGACCAGACAGCTGTCACTGCAAATGACAATGAGTTTAATGAATGTATTAAAAAACAAAGCTATCATATTGCACCAGAAATCAGAGACTGTTAAAATAAGTGATTCAGAAAGAAAAATGATAAAAGTGGGTTGGGGTAGGGGGTGGAGGGTGGAGGTGGAAGAGGGCATAGAGCGAATAAATGATGATGGAAAATATCAAATGAAAAAGAAATTTAAAACAAAACAAAATAAAAGGCTGAACAAAAGTATAAATGGAAAATGCAAAAGTAAACGAAATGTGGATGCAATGTTTATATCACACAAGAAGGAATGCAGACCCCAAAAATAATGAAATTATTTAAATAAGGACATTTTGTAATGCTAATTAAACAAATTCAAAATAAAAATAAAACAGTTATGAATTTCTAGACATTACATAACAGAGCAGCAACATTCATAAATTAGACATTACAAAAGCTATAAGAGTGATAGAAATATTCTGTTTAGAAGCACTTTATTAATCTGAGTTTATGAAAGATCAAGTTGACAACAATATCAATTAAGAAGGTAAATCATGCCGAAACCGGTTTGGCTCAGTGGATAGAGCGTCGGTCTGCGGACTGAAGGGTCCCAGATTCGATTCCGGTCAGGGGCATGTACCTTGGTTGCGGGCACATCCCCAGTGAGGGGTGTGCAAGAGGCAGCTGACCGATGATTCTCTCTCCTCGATGTTTCTGACTCTCTCTCCCTCTCCCTTCCTCTCTGTAAAAAATCAATAAAATATATTTATTAAAAAAAAGAAGGTAAATCAAATTGACAAATGTTTAATGCTTTGCTCTGAAATAAAGATATTTTTTTAGAAGTGCTCATAAAATATTAATTAAAACTAAATACAAAAAAACAACATTTCCAAAGTGGAGAAATTGTTAAATATATTTTTATTACAATGCAATAAAACTAGTAATTAATAACAAATTCAGAAAACAAAAAGACTCAATCACCATTAAAATAAAATTTGTCCCAAGGTACTTTTAGAATCAAACCAAATTGGTAAAAATTTTTTAAAGATAATACTGTAGAAAAATATATACTACAATATAGGGCATAGAGAATAGCTAATAACTTCAGATTTAAGATTTTAAAAAATTAGTTAAACTAATCAATAATAAGACTAAAGAAGTTATAAAGAACATGAAAATAAATTGAAACAAAACAGTATTGTAAAATTAATTAAGGTAAGAGCTAAAATTAATTATCAGAAAATAAAATAATAGTCACATCAATACATAAGTAAAAATGTTTGTGATGGGAAGGGATTGATAATTAATTGAGAAAATACAAGACAATATATCTATAAAAATGAAATATTATGGGGAAAGATAATCACAATAAAGGGAAAAGTAAGAACATTATGAAGGCTAGATTGCTGCAATCAATTATGAAACCTAGATAAAATGGATGATATTCTAAGAGGATATTCATCCAAATTAATTCCAAAAGATAAAGAAATTTCAACTAAGAGACTTTAGTAGAAGAAATGAAGAAACATCTGAAACACCTAAAATTTTTGAAAAAATATGAACTGATAGGGAAAGTCTATCAACTCTTTTTCAGAGTAGATAATTCCAATGCTATGTAAACTTTTCCAAAGCATAAAAACAAACAAACAAGTAGAGGGGATACAGGAGGGAGATATTTCCATTATTTTCAAAACCAATATATTAGTGTCATACTATTATAGTTTGGAATTACACAGATAAACAAGCCAATATGACTTAAGAATATTAATTTAAAAAAGCATAAAAAGAGATTCTAACAGTATATTAAACTATTAATGAGTTAAGAAGAGTATATTTTATTTACTGAATACAAAAATGGCTCTATATTAGCAAATTTATAAATATACAATTAATTATAGTAATAAAGCTAAAAAGAAAATCATAGAATTATCTCTCCAGGATTACCTGCAAAGACATTTTCAACAGTCTGCAAGTATTCTGAATTAAAAGAAAATCTTAACAAAATAATTATAGGTAAACACTTACTGAAATGAAATATCTATGTCCTAAAAATCAAACTTGAATTTAATGGAGAAAAACCAAAGGTGGTTTCAATAATATTGGATTTTGCAGTTATAAAAATTGAAAAAGAGTAGTAAATCACCACT